TTTTTATACACTTAATCACATGATTTTTATACACTCAACCACGTTTTTACACAATTTCCTGCAAATGTTTTTTACACACTCATTCATATGTTTTCTACATACTCAATAATGTTTTTTAACGCTCTCAACCACACGTTTTTATACACTTAATCACATGATTTTTATACACTCAACCACGTTTTTACACAATCCTGCAGATGTTTTTTACAAACTCAATCAAATGTTTGCACACTCAACTGAAAATGTTTTTTACACACTCAATCATGTTTTTAGTTTAGTTTTAGTAGAGGTTTTACTGCGCTTGCAAAACAATACAGTCACGAAAGAGCCGAAGGTCCGAGGTGTTACAAGAGAGTAAAAAACAAAATAAAAGAAGGAGAGATAAGGACGATAGATGTTTGATAGGAAAGAAGGAGCAAATCACACCAGAGCACCCGCCAACCACCCACGTTGCTGAAGGAACACGAGATGACATCATCAGTGGAGCACACACTTATCAGACAGCGCCACACAAACAATTAACTGGCTTTTCTTTTTCACATACCCATTTACACACTCAATCACGTTTTTACACACTCAATTGCACATGTTTTTTTACACACTCAATCACAGGTTTCAACAAAGGAACGCACTCAAAGCCCAACCAAATAAATATATCAAAATAGAAAACAATAATCAAATAAACTGATACTGCTAACTCCAGTCCAGAAACAAGGCTGTCTGCCCACAAAGATATGTGCTCATTTCACAGACCCTGACTAACCTCAACTAACTTGATCAAATAGACTCATTTCAAGGACTCCCCGGCAACTATTTCTTAGTTTTGCTTTAGTAGAGGTTTTACTGCGCTCGCAACTGCACTCAGTCATATGAGCGCAAGAAGATTAGAGGAATAACAAGAGAGTAACAAACATAAAAAAGAAGAAGGGAGATATAGGTTGCTAGATGTTTGATAGGAAAGAAGAAGCAAACCACACCAGAGCACCCGCCGACCACCCATAACGATTTCCTAAAAGCAAAAAAATAACAGCCCACAACGCCCCGCTGGCCTGGGATATGAAGAGAGATTAAGTCGTCGACAGATGGAGAGAAAGGGGAAGGACTTTTACTAACTTGACTAGCTTCACCGACTTGATTAACTTTCACCAACTTGACTGACTTCGCGACAACTATTTCTTAATACTTTGCCACCACAAGGCTCATGAAGTAAAAACCCTCGCAAGCAACAGCAAAAGGCATTTTGGGGAAAATCCAAAGAAACTGGGTGGTAAACATCACCGATCGGCGAGATGTGACGGCAAACAAAGCGTTAAAGGCAAAAAAATAAACGCCCACAGCGCCCAACAGGCCTGGGGTGTGAAGCAAGACTAAGTTGTCGACGGATGGAAAGAAAGGGGAAGGAGAAATCTACCATCATGTCGTCCTCCTTGGAGTTGCTCGTCTTGCTCTTCTTGTCCTTGTCTGCGATCTCTCCTTTGAGCATGCGCTGCAACTCTCGCCGCTCCGCCTCCTCCTTCTCACGGGACAACTGGGGAGAGAGAGAACAGACGAATACAGTGAGGAAGAGGACAGATGAACAGAGAACAAACAGACACTATAAGTAGGACAACTGGGGAGAGAGAGAGAGAGAGAGAGAACAGAGGAATACAGTGAGGAAGAGAACAGATGAACAGAGAACAGACACTATAAGTAGGACAACTGGGGAGAGAGAGAGAGAGAGAACAGACGAATACAGCGAGGAAGAGAACAGATGAACAGAGAACAAACAGACACTATAAGTAGGACAACTGGGGAGAGAGATAGAGAACAGACGAATACAGCGAGGAAGAGAACAGATGAACAGAGAACAAACAGACACTATAAGTAGGACAACTGGGGAGAGAGAGAGAGAGAGAACAGACGAATACAGCGAGGAAGAGAACAGATGAACAGAGAACAAACAGACACTATAAGTAGGACAACTGGGGAGAGAGAGAGAGAGAACAGACGAATACAGTGAGGAAGAGAACAGATGAACAGAGAACAAACAGACACTATAAGTAGGACAACTGGGGAGAGAGAGAACAGACGCAATTTTTTTTCCCGAAAGAGTTTTACGGCACTTGCAACACAGTAAGGTTATATAGGAGCCGAAGATTAGAGGGTCTTTTTGTGTTTTAGTAGAGGGTTTTACGGCGCTCGCAACTGCATAAGGTCATATGAGCGCCAAGGGGTGGGTGTCAACAGAGAAGTCTTTACAGGGAATCAGATTTGGACTGGTCAACAGAATCTAGCGGGGTCCGGTGAGTCATGACCCTCTAGCCCGGCAGTCAACAGAATCTAGCGGGGTCCGGTGAGTCGTAACCCTCTAGCCCGGCGGTCAGTCACCTGAGTGC